AGCTGGCACCCACGTCTCCATATCCCTCCCTCCATACCAGGCTGCCAGCCGCACTTTCATGCTACTCGTGCTGTGTAGTAGTCACCCTGCTGCCCCCGGCGTGAGGCCATGTGCAGGAGACAGCCCTTCCGCAGCTGGCGGTGCCATCTGCCAGGCTCTCTCTGCAGTGGCCGCCAGCTCCCTGCAGCCACCTCCGTCCAGAGCCCATTTGTCCAGAGCCTCTGGCCTCATGCAAAGGCTGCTGGGTAAAGACACGGACAGTTGCCTTTCTATCAGAGACCCTCACTCTGACCCTGAGCCGGCTTCCCCCAGTCCTGAGTGAAAGCTTGCAGCCCTGCAGCCAAACCGGCTGATGCAGAGTCCTCGCTCACCACTCACCGGAGAACTGCCGCCGCCTCAGCTGCACGCTCCGAGCTCCCGCTACGGTGGCAGCCACCCCTTCCCCGCCCACTGCTTTCTCCACAACGTCTCCCATTGCTCATCTCGCGTCCTTCACCTGGCACCGGGGCTGCAGTCACAGCTTCAGCTGGCACAGGGAAGGGTGAAGTGAGGCGGGAGGGGCCGGGATAACCAGTGGGGCCTTTCTTGGCATATTTTAGCTCGAGATGGAGGGAGCTTCCTAATGTGTTCCAAAGGTAATGAGGCAGAAGAAGTTGCATTACCTAGCTCTCCGCACCAGCATGCCTCTTACGGTCGAACAATCTTTATTAGGAAAGATACTTATTGGGAAAGCCACCTCTGTCCCTCACGCGGGTCAGTGTGTCCCCTGTGGCCAGGGCGTCGGGGGGAGGGGTGGTCTGGGAAGGCTTCCCTGAGGAGGTGGCATGTAGGGCTACAATCTGGAGTCAAAGGAGGTGACAGCCAGAGAAGGTGGGATGGAGCGGGGGCGGAGCACTAGGAGGGAATGCCTGAGGCACACTGGGCCCCATCTGAAGAACAGAGCGAGATGGGGCTAGGCCAGTGGTCGGCAAACTCATTAGTCAACAGAGCCAAATATCAATAGTACAATGATCGAAATTTCTTTTGAGAGCCAAAATTTTTTTAACCTTAAACTTCTTCTAACGCCACTTCTTCAAAATAGACTCGCCCAGGCCATGGTATTTTGTGGAAGAGCCACACTCAAGAGGCCAAAGAGCCGCATGTGGCTCATGAGCCGCAGTTTGCCGAGCATGGGGCTAGGCAATGGGAGGTCACCATCAGAGCTGGCTTTCTCTTCTCCACATCCCCCTCATGTATACTGCTAACCTCACTACTGCCAACAGCCAGACACATCTGCTTTACCTGAGCCCCCACTACACCAAGCATTTTATTTGTACGATCCCGCTTCAGCCACAGTCCTATGAGGACAAGGTACAAGGTTCTGTGTCCATTTTACAGATGAGGAAGCTGAGGCACTGGGAGGGGAGGGCCGCACAGCTAGTAAACGCAGAACCGGGATTCAAACCCCAGGGCCTAAAGATCTCTGGATGGAAAACGCCCTTTTCCAGCCCAGGCCTCCATTAGCTTTCCAGCTGACTCGGTTTCATTTCCATGAACCACTGGGAGGTCCAGCTGGTGTGACTGAAGGCCCTCAGGTGACTGTGGGAGCTAGGGGTTGCTGAGCTACCTAGGTGCAGAACGGGGGATGGGTGTGGGGGGAGGGCGGGGGTGGCGGCTTGGCTGCTACAGTGAGCACAGGGGCTCTGGGGGGAATGAGGGCCTGCACTTGGATTGGAAATAAGCCCACCTGGGGCCACCCTGCCCCTCACAACATCTCAGCTAGGGGATTGTTAATGGACGGTCTGCAGACCCCTCCTTTCCTGGTGAAGGCCGTCACCCCTCCAGCTTCCTTTTCTGGGAGGCAGAGAGTGAAGTGGCCAATGCACAAACACAAGGGCTGTGTTCACAGGAAGCAAACCATCTTCTGGGCTTCTAGACTCTTCCTTTCCTCCACGTGGTGCTGGGCAAGGGACAGGAGGCACTGGGGGTGGGAGGAGCAGCGGTCCTTTGTAAAACTCAACAATTAAGATCTATTTTCTTGCCTCAGGTGGTTTAACTCATTGGCTAGAGCACTGGCTGCGAACTGAAGGGTCCCGGGTTTGATTGCCTACCTCTGTTGTAGGTTTGATCTCTGGCCCTGGTTGGGACATGTGCAGGAGGCAACCAATCAATGTGTCTCTCTCTCATATCAATGTTTCTCTCTGTCTCTTCCCTTCCCTTCCACTCCCTCTAAAAATCAGTGGAAAAATATCCTTGGGTGAGGAGTAACAAAACATATAAATAAATAAAATCAAATCTATTTTCTTTCTTCTGAAATGTTCAGTCCTCAGGCCAAGAGGAATTGCCTCCTTAATTACATTCAACTTCTGGCATCGTATCTGCTGAAGTTTGGGCGACGCTGAACTCAGCTAAATGACAAGCACCGTGCGTACATCTGTGTATGCACGCATGTGCGTTATGTATATTTATGCATGTACTACATTTCTCTCCCCTCCCACTGTCATTCCTCCATTTAGCAGGAAATAAAAGGACCAGTGGGCTGGAGCTCAAATCCTGCCTAAGCGGAGGCAAATCTGGGTGTCACAGTTTCCAGAAAGGGAACACAATCTCCGCATGGGGTGTAATTACATCTTAGCTTTCTGCAGAAGAATAGTTTATGGCTTAAATGCTATTAATTGTAAGCCGTTTTGTTCCACGGGAACTTGTTCATTGATAACTATCCAATTAGGGTTATTTTGCAATTAGTCTATTCACACTAAATTTACTGCAGAAGGGGAGGCTGTGGTGCAGCAAATTAAGGCATTGCCTGGGCTGGGTGTGCAACGGCTCTTAAAAGCCAACCTTATTAACCGTCCCGGCGGCTGTGCCCCCTTGGCTGATGCAGCCAAGGCCACAGGGAACCCCCAGCAAATTCACCCTGAAAACCCACACGAGGGATGGCTCAGTATGAGCAGGAGAAGCATGGAGACCCTTGGCCTCCACTGGGGACATCCCCCGTTTTTCCCCATTAATGCCCTCTCTTCCTCTTGCAACTAACGGATGACAGAGAGATGCAGTCTGCAGGCTGTAAGGACATCCCTGAGATTTGGCAATCAGCTCAAATGGGAGCGTTAGCCTCCAGGAGATGCAGACGCTCTGGGAAAGGATGCACACTCTCAAACCTGAGTTCTAAGCCCGGCTCTGCCATCTACTTAGCTGTGTTCCTCTGGCCAAGTATTCAGTCTCTCTAAGCCTCGGTTTCTTCATCAACAAAATGGGTGGATAACAGATCTGCCACATATGCTAGTGTGAGGATTCACTGCCATATATGGTGGGAACAGTGTCCGATATACTAGTACAGTAGTACCCCCTTATCCAAGACCCCAGTGGATGCCTGGAACTGCGAAGCACTGAACCCTGTCTATGCTATGTTCTTTCCTACACATATGTACTATGGTAAAGTACGTATGAATTAATTTATGAATTAGGCGCAGTAAGAGATGAACAACAACAATAATAAAACATAATAATTATAACAGTGTAATAAAGGTTATGTGGATGCGGTACTATTAAGAATAACTTGGACACAAGCGATACCAGGGCAGTAGCTCCGATAACCCAGATGGCCACTGGGTGACTAGTGGGTGGGAGCATATACAGTGAGGACATGCTGCAGAGAGGGGTGACTCTCATCCCGGGTGGGAAGTACGGGGCCAGCGTGAGATTTCAGCATGCTACTCAGAACGGCGCACAATGTAAACTCGTGAATTTCTGGACTTTTCCATTGTTGCTAATATTTTCAGGCCTTGGTTGACTGGAGGTAACTGGAACCTTGGAAAGCGGAAACGCAGAAAACTCAAAACATACAGATGAACTTGGGTAAAATATGGGAGCTGTCCCCACTGCACCTTGCCCAGGGGCCACCGGGAGAGCTGGCCATGCATCCTTCCAGGCCTCTCTGTGCCCGTGGCACACAGGGCTGCTCCCAACCTGGCCCCAGTCCTTCCTTCTGGGACCGGCAGTCTCTACAGAGGCTCCTGTCTGAGGAGGAGGCCTGGGTTCTAGCTCAAGTTCAGCCTCTGGTCCAGGGGGTGAGTCTGGGCAAGTCTCCTTCCCCCCATGGGCCTCGCATTCCCGTCTGTCCAGTGGATAAACGGCACTGAGCTTTCTCTAGCCTGCTGCTCCTTGGGAGCCATTGTCACCACGCATCGCCCTTCTGCATCCAGACAGATGCAGGGACACCGGAGCTGCTCAGAAGAGGGAGGCCGCTTGGCAGAGGCTTCCCTGCCTGCCTCCTAGGTCCATCCCTGTCAGGGGAACCGAAAGTCCCGCCTGCCCACACCACGCCTGGATCAGCCCTGTGGCTGGCTTTCCTGATGCGCTGACTTCTGTCCCAACACAGCGGGTGCTGACCTCTCACAGCAAGAGCTCTGCTTCCGCACTGGTCACCAGCACATGAGTGTCCAGCTCAGGGCAGGGGAGAGAGACGGAGGGGAAGGGAGGAATAGGAAATGGCGAAGAAAGAAAATAGGAAGAAAATGAGGAAAAATTAGGAAGGAAGGAGGGGAGGAAGGAAGGAAGAAATTTTAGATGGAGGAAAACGGGAAGGCTGGTTTTCAGAGCCTCCAAAGTCAATGCAACGATTAGAAACCTTTCGGATCATATTTGATTGCAATAATATCTGTGTCAGTTTTAATCCCGATAATCTGCCGAGACAGAAAACCAACTCTATCAGCATAGTCACCTCGCCTTCTGCCGCTTCCACCATAGCCTGATTTCATGGTATGCCCTCCTTTGCCATAACGGCACCTGGTTCAATTGAAACTAGAACTAAAGGCAATTTGATACTGAAAATACTTTTCCGTGGGAAACTTCAGAATTCAGGGGCTACCAAAGAAGTCAGGTCTTGTGACCTGATTTGGGGTCTGAAAACCAGGGTGGCCGTTCTCAGCAGGTCTGAGAGCGTGAGCAGAAGGGGGCCGGGCAGGAGGGAGAGCTGGAGAGGTGGCACCTCTCCCTGCCCAGCCAGGCCTGGGGCTTACCTTCCAGCGGGCAGAGGCGGGTCACCTTCTCCGGCATCAGCAGCCCCAGCTTGTGGCGGCAGTAGGTCTCCCCGATCTCCTGGCGGCAGTGCTTGGACTTGGAGCGGGACAGGGCGGAGATGGCCTCCTTGCCCGAGACGTCGCACTTGGGGGGCTGGTCATACTTGATCTCGGGGGAGCTGCCCCCGCTTTTCCTGGCGTGGGGCTGTCGGGCGGCCTCCTTCCCGCGGCTACTGTTCCCGGGGGCTCTCTCGCCCGGAGGCAGCACCTCGTTGGCGCCTTTGCCCGGGGAGGGGTGCCCCTTGCCCTTGTCCTGCTCCAGCTTCCTTTTCAGAAGCTCCTTCTGCCGGCTCAGGGGCTTCTTCGCCAGCTCGGGCTGGTGCTTCTGCTTCTGCGTCCTCGGGGCAAAGTTGCTATTGTCCACGTTCTCAAAGTCTTTGGGGACCGAGTTCTCGTTGTTGCTGTCTGTCCGCACTTTCTCTTTGGGCCGGTGAGAGAAGTAGCCATCCTAGAGGAGACGAGGAAAGAGACACGGAAGATAAATTTTACTCAGCGATCACGCTGCCTCGGCTGGCCCTTGGAGAGGGGTGCACAGAGGGGTGGGAGTCTGCACCCTGGTTTCAGTCCCCACCTCTGCCAAGAGCTTCCCTTCGGGTAAGACTTTTCTCTCTGGACCTCAGTTTCCCCATCTGGAAACCCGAGATGCTCTAACTTAGGGGTGTCGAACTCAATCAGAGAAGGGGCCAAAATCTAAAATCCAGCCTAAATCGCGGGCCGAATGGTTTACTGAACAGTCATAAACTGTCATTGTGATGGAAACGCAGCGGAGTGCAGTGATGACAGCGCGGTGCGGGCCACATTGCAAGGCCTGGCGGGACGGATTTGGCCCGCGGGCCTTGTGTTTGACACATGTGCTCTAACTAGAAAGAAGGGCTAGGCCTGTGAGTCGCCAGGGTTGTTATGAACCGTACCTCCTGTTCAAGGAAGTGTCCTGGACTGTCTCTGCCGCCGGATTAAGGGCGTTTTGTTCCGGCTTCCTGTTAAATTTCAGCAGAGAGTGCCCTGATGGCTTATTTAAGGGCTGGCGATGCCATAGTGAAGTTATAAGGGAGAGAATATCAGTAGGATATTATGTACGTTCCACTGCCTTCAGGATGTAGTCACAGACCTATGCCCGGAAGAGAAATAAGACAGCGCCCCAGCGTCAGTTCCGAAGGAGAGACGTCCCTGGGCTCTTGGAGAACGAATGGTCCTTGCAGTGGATCCCAGTGGAGACACACACCTGTGACCCTCTTGTGTTTGAGCCTTGGCTCTCCACGCCCCTACCTGGGGCAGTACTGATGAGGTCACATGGGGTTTCAAGAGATGGGCCAGGAGACAATGCACGGGGTGCATGTTTCCAGGAAAGCGGGCGCCTCATACTCAGCTCCTCCCTGGGTCATCTCGAAAGCATGTTGCTCCTGCTGACACCCACTGCCAAGGCCATACCCTGACAGAGTACCCTCAGCCCTAAAGCGAGCCCTCCGGGAGACCTCTGAAGCCACAGGGAACACTAATTGGTTCCATAAATCTACGCCGTTGCTGCAGAAGTGCCTTGAATGCATTGCTGTAGGAACTCTGAGGGAAGGCTTCCCTGTGAGTTTTCCTAAATGTGCCTCCAAAGGGCTCCTGAGGACTGGGATGGTCTGGATTGACGGACAGTGGAAGCAGTGCTGGAGCCCAGGAGACTGGCACTCAGCATGCCTCCTCCTCTGGCAGGCTGCAAAACTCCTTGGCGGGCCAATTCCTACCTGCCACTTGTTTTTGCAAATAAACTTTTATTGAAACGTGGCGATGCCTGTCCATTTATGAATTATCTAGGGCTGCCTCAACAGCAGAGGTCAGCAGCTGCAATAGAGACTATCTGGCCGCAAAGCCTAAAATATTTCTATCTGGCCCTTTAAGAAAGGGTGGCAGACCAGTGTTGAACCCTGGCTGGTGTGGCTCAGATGGCTGGGCATCATTCAATGCAGCGAGGGGTTGCCAGTTCCATTCCTGGTCCAGGCACATGCCCAGGGGTGTGGGCTTGATCCCCAGTGGCAGGCATGCAGGAGGCAGCTGATTGATGTTTCAATTCTCACATTGATGTTTCTCTCTTTCTCCCTTCCTCTCTCTAAAAAGCAATTTAAAAATCTTTATTAAAAAAAAGAAGAAGAAGAATGCAGGCTCCAGCTCTCCCGGAGTGTGCGTTTAGAAGGCGCCGGCCCCGGGGCTTGGTGCAGTTCGCTGTGCCCCCAGTGCCCCGTTTGGCTCAGCAGTGCTCTGGAGAAGCAGCCCCATCATGGCTGCCCTTTTTTGTTTGCCCTGTGCCTCCTAGCATCCAGCACTGATTTCTCCAATCAGAGAGACAATAAGAATGACAGTGGACCCTGAGATCCCTCGTGGCCATTCTGTAAGATGAATATTGTTGTTATTTTCATTATACAGGCGAGGAAACTGAGCATCAGCTCACAAGTGTATGGGCTACCCATTCCATTAGCCTGTCTTCTTAACCACTGCAGCCTGGCTTTGTACCACAAGATCTGCCTCCCTTCCCGTCTATTCCACCCAGATAAATGGAGCTGGGATAAGCATATCACCTGCAAATAGCCACCAGGAGGCAGGGAGCTACAGAAAGGGAGAAGACAGTAAGTAGGGGCCACGAAGCACCAGGAGCTTGAGGCGCAGGACCTGGGGTGCCACGGGGTAGGTGGCAGGAAATAAAGAGATGCCACGAAGGGAGAGCCGAGTCTGTTTTGAGTCACGAGAGGTTGCCTGATCACACACAGGAGCCGATGCTATATCTTTGTTGGTGACCAGGACCTTCCAGTTCTGATACCTAGTTCAGGTCTTTTTTTAAAATAAATATATTTTTTATTGTTTTTTAGAGAGCCAGAAACATTGATGAGAGAGAAACATCAATCAGCTGCCTCCTGCACACCCCCCAAAGGGGATGTGCCCGCAACCAAGGTACATGCCCTTGACCAGAATTGAACCTGGGACCCTTTAGTCTGCAGGCCGACGCTCTATCCACTGAGCCAAAACAGCCAGGGCTGGTTTACGTCTTTTTTAATTCCCCTCATGGACTTGCAAGAAATCCCCCTCAGTGAGGCTCCATGTCTATTTTTGAATCCCACTGACAGTCCTCTTTTCTCTTCTTTCCACCCAGAGTTCCTTGAAGAATCCTCAGCAGCCTCTTAATGCACTCCTCCCCGAGCAACGACATGAGCCGGCATCACAAACTAAGTGATCCCAGGTATGACTTACTGGATAGCAACAGTCACCCCACGAGGAGGTGCACTCCTTGCCATTTAACAGGAGGAGGAACCAAGGTGTTCTTAGTTGTAAGAACACGTAGCAGGCACCAGGCACCATGCCAAGTCTTTATATCTGATATCTCATTTGACCGTCAAGAATAACTTTGAAGAAGGTAATAGTATTCCCATCCCACAGGGAGGGGAAAACGCTTGGGAATGTTCAATAACTTGCTCAGAGTCATCTGGGGGAGGAAGGGAACTTGCACCACTCTGATTCTTAAACTTGGCTCTAGTATAGTGTCTCTTCCGTTTGGCTGAGAGGTAAACAAGGAGCATTTAGCTCCCCCTTCTCTATGGGGCAGTGGGAGGGGTATCTCCCTGTTTGCTCATATAGCCCAGGTAGGCATAGAGTTGGAAGCAGGGGCAGGGATGGTATTCAATCATAAAGTGCCTGACAAATATTTCAGTCCTCTTCCTTCTAGGCACATGATAGGATTCTATTTCCCACCCCCTGAAAATTAAGCACAGCCAAGCAACTTGCTGCGGCCAAAACAAGAGACAGAGAAGCCAGGGCCAATTTGCCACATCCCCTTTCAGCCATACCATCCAGCCGCACTCCTGATAGCGCAGTTCTTGTATTTCTGAGTGAGTCCAGTGTGGAGAAGAGACTCCCTCCCCCCACCCTGGGACAGAAATAAATCTCTGTCATTTTCTGTCACTGAGATTTGGGGATCTTTGTTACTGCAGCACGATCTAGCTCATCCTGATTAATACAGGAGCCGACCTGATCTGCTTTCTTCCTTTCAGCTGTCCTCTGGTTCAAAAGCCTTTTTTCTGTCTCTGACAGAAAATCAGTTCAGTGATGCCTGCTGTCCAAGAATATGAATTTCAATTCTGTCCTGGAGCCTGTTGTGTTCTTTTCTTTTTCCTCTGAAGTTAATGAGAGGGCAGAGAGGAAGCAGAAGAGACCCTGTCCTTACAGCCATCTGCACCCTCTCTCATCAGGCACATCCTGAGTATTATTCTTGGGCTGTTCTCTTTCCTCATTAACTGAGGATTGCAATTTGGCCCCCTGAGCAGAAAACCTCTATAAACCACTGATTTCAATAGCTCACGTGTGCGAGCACTTCCTGGCAGAACCTCAGCTAAACCAGACACCGGAAACACTGCCGTGGATGAAGCTCATCTGACCATCCGAGAACAGCCGATGCCTCTGGCTAATTTCTGATAGCAGGACCAGGCGTGGCCATCGGTTCTAACACGACTCCTGATTTATACACGTTGTCTACTCAGAGGCCCCACGATGGGTGATTGGCTCAGTGTGGCCCTGTGGCCTTCCGCTGGCCCCAGACGCCGCTCAGCTGCCGCAGGAAGTCTAAAGGTCCCAGTGTACGGGAAGGGAAGTATTTTTTCTTCTGGAATAGAAAGCTCACAGACATTAGACAGCTTCCAGAAAAGTCAGAGAGAGGCACAGTCAGGGAGAATCAGGCAGCATCCAGAGGCCTGACACCTCCTGTCACCCCGAGTCGGTACTGTTTTCTCCAGTAGCCAGTTTTTCCTGTTTTAACTTTTATTGTGGGAAGAACCCTTGACACGTTTACCCTCAACACGTTTAAGAGCACAGGACAATGTTCACTCATCTTGTATAACTAAGGATTTGTGATCAGCATCTCCCAACTTCGCTCCTCAGCAGGCCCTGGAAACCACCTTTCTACTTTCTTCTTTGATGAATTTGACTATTTCAGATTCCTCACCTAAGTGGGACCGTGCAGTCTGTGTCTCTCTAGGATTGGCTTATGTCACTCAGCACAAGGTTCCTCCGTGTTCTCATAAATGACTGGATTTCCTCTTTTAAAAGGTTGAATAAGATCCCAATGTATGGATATATCACCCTTTCTTTATCCATCCGCCCCTCTGTGAACATGAGATATCACACCACACCTTCCCCCTAGCTCTTCACTGGCCTAGCTTACCTCTCCTTTCCCTGGAGGCCAGAGATCTCAAATCCCAAACCCAGGTTCCTTTCCTATAAAAACCAACCCGGAGAGGTTTCTAGGCAAATATGTGCAGGATAATCATCGCGTCCCCAACATCCATGGACCTCATACTCTGGCTTTTCACACACCCTGTGCCCCCACCCTCTCAAAAAGGACTAAGCTGGGCAGCATTCATCCTAATTAAGGGGAGGAAAAGAAGGCACATCGGGGTTAGACAACTGGCCCAAGGCCACAGT